AGAGTGAGACTCTGTCTCCAAAAAAAAAAAATAAGAAGAAAAGAAAAGGAAATGGGCAGGCTCTGTGTGGTGGCTCACACCTGTAATGCCAGCACTTTGGGAGGCCAAGGTGCTTGAGCCCAAAAGTTCAAGACCAGCCTGGGCAACATGGGGAAACCCTGTCCGTATAAAAAATACAAAAATTAGACAGGTGTTGTGGTGCAGGCTTGTAGTCCCAGCTACTCAGGAGGCTGAGGCAGGAGGATCGTGTGAGTCTGGGACATTGACACTAAGGGAGCTATAATTGTGCCACTACACTTCAGCCTGGGCAACACAGTGAGACCCTGTCTCAAAATATAAAGAAATAAAAATAAAGAAATGGCCAAACTATTTAAACAGATGATAGATGCCTCACCAAAGAAGATGTAAGGATAGCCATAAGCACATGATTCAGATGCCAAACATCATTAATCATTAGAGAAATGCAAATTAAGTTTACAATGAGACACCACTACGTACCCACTGGAATGGCTTTAATCACAAAGACTGACCATACCAAGGGCTGGCAAGGATGTGGAGCAACCAGAACTCTCATCCACTGCTGGTAGAATGTAAAATGGTACAACCACTATGGAAAATAAATCATCTCTCTTTTTTTTTTTTTTTTTTTTTTTGAGACAGGGTCTCCCTCTGTTACCCAGGCTGGAGTGCAATGGTGTGATCATAGCTCACTGTAGCCTCAACTTCCTGGGCTCAAGTGATCCTCTGGCCTCAGCCTCCTGAGTAGCTGGGACTACAGGCATGTGCCACCACACCCAGCTAATTTTTGTATTTTTTGGAGAGATGGAGTCTCATTATGCTCCCAGGGTCAAGCAATTCTCTCACCTTGACCTCCCAAAGTGCTAGGATTACAGGCATGAACCACCACGCCTGGCCCTATCCATTTTTTAAAAACTTAAATGCTACTTATTATATGACCTAGAAAGCTTGCTTGATAAAAATGCTTACATGTAGAACAATATGTGAATTAATGTTCATAGCAGCCTTATTAGAACTGAAAACTAGGATCAACCCAAATGTCCACCCACAGGTGAATGGATAAACAAATTCTGATATATCCATACAATCGAATAGTAATCAGCAATAGAAATGAAATATTGGGCTGGGCACGGTGGCTCATGCCTGTAATCCCAGCACTTTGGGAGACCGAGGTAGGCAGATCATGAGGTCAAGAGATCGAGACCATCCTGGCCAATATGGTGAAACCCTATCTCTACTAAAAATACAAAAATTAGCTGGGCATGGTGGCACGTGCCTGTAATCCCAGCTACTCAGGAGGCTGAGGCAAGAGAATCACTTGAATCCGGGAGGCGGAGATTGCAGTGAGCCAAGATCTCACCACTGCACTCTAGCCTGGCAATAGAGGGAGACTCTGTCTCAAAAAAAAAAAAAAGAAAGAAATGAAGTATCAATAAACACCACATGTACTGAATCTCAAAGCAATTATGCTGACCAAAACAAGCCAGAAAAAAAGAATATGTACTATGTGATTCCAATTTTTTAAACCTCTAGAAAATTCAAACTAAAGTCTATAGTGAAAGAAAGCAGATTAGTGGTTGCCTGGGGAGGGGAACTGGAGGAAGAGATTATCCAAAGAGATAACAAGAAAATTATTGGGGTGCTGGATTTGTTTATTATGTTGATTGTGGCAATGGCTTCACAGATGTGTACATACATCAAAACTTCAGAAATTGTGTACTCTAAATATGTCTAGTTTATTGTATGTCAATTGTGCCTCAGTAACACTGTTAAATAAGTAAACACATCAAAAGAGAGAAAGAAAAAGAATGAAATGACTCCAAGAAAGGTTTACATAAACTGCTGTATCCTGTGGATCTCTGACTGTGACCCTGAACTTTTACTCTGTAGTAGTCTGTTCTCTCATTGCTATAAAGAAATACCTGAGACTGGGTAATTTATAAAGAAAAGAGGTTTAATGGCTGGGCACAGTGGCTCATTCCTATAATCCCAGCACTTTGGGAGGCCAAGGCAGGCAGATCACTTAAGGTCAGGAGTTTGAGACTAACCTGGCCAACATGATGAAACCCCATTTCTACTAAAAATATAAAAATTAGCCAGGTATGGTGGTGTGTGCCTGTAATCCCAGCTAAAGAAAAGAGATTTAATTGTCTCATCATTCCTCAGGCTGTACAGGAAGTATGGTGCTGGCATCTGCTTAGCTTCTGGGGAGGCCTCAGGAAATTTGCAATCATGGCAGAAAGTAAAAGGGAAGCAGGCACGTCTTACATAGCCAGAGCAGGAGAAGGAGAGGGCGGGGGGAGGTGCCACACATTTTTAAACAATCAGATCTCATGGGAACTCACTCACTGTGCAGTACCCAGGGGAGAGGGAGATGGTGCTAAACCATTCATGAGAACTCCATGCCCATGATCCAGTCACCTCCTACCAGGCCCTGTCTCCAACACTCAGCATGACAATTCGACAGGAGATTTGGGCAGGAACACAGTCCAAACCATATCACTCCTCATTCTCAAGAATGTGTACATTTGGGTAAAGGCCTGGTTTTTTTGTTTGTTTGTTTGTTTTTTTGGAACCCCTGCGAAATTGGTTTCACACAGACCTTATTTTAGACATTTCTTAGATAACTAGCATTTACCCCTCTTTTTAATATTTGCCTGTTTTAATGGGAGGCAACAAATGTTTTCTAAGCCCAGTAGCCTTAAACTACCAAGTGAACCAGAAAAGACCTCATTTACATTGCTCTTCAGCATCTGTGAATTGAGAAGAAATTCTTTTTCCAGAGGAAAGTCTTTGCTCGCTCAGTGTTTGGGAATCTCTCCTGCTGTATCCTGAAGACTCTGGGGAGGGGGAAAACGCCCAGCCATCCTGACAGCGCAATCGTGTCTTGTCCTATTAGGTCCTTAGTCTGCTAAGAAGCTTTTATAAATATTAAATAAACAAAGTTCAGTCCCTTGGGTTTTAAAGGGAAATAGTTCTTTCAGGGTAGAGAAAAATTCTCCCTAGCCAAGTATTTTTAGACAAAGTCATTTTCCCCTGATGATCCAGGAACTGGCAATTAGGGCAGGAAGGATGGCGTCTGTGTGACACATTTGGGAGCTAAACCAAGCAACTGTAAAGTGAGAAAATGGGATGGGATGTCCTGGAAGGTTCCACACTGCTTTACAATTCTGTCACTCTCTAGTGACAAGGACAGGCCCAAGTTTTAGTTCTGGCTCTGCCACTCATTTACAGACTCACATGGGCCAGTAAGTCACCTCACTAAACCTGAGTTCTCTCACTAACTAAATAAGGGTAGTAAAGTACAATCCAAAGCCATGCATTTAAAACATCTGAGCTTAAGCAGCAACACAGCTCTGATGCTGGCTTTGGGACCTGGGTCGGGGACAGTGCTGCTTCACTTGTTTGGGACCACTAGCCAATTGCCAGAGGGCACAAGTGTGACAGCCTCTCAGTGGAGCCACACCCGGGAGCACCCCGAAGTGAGAAGACGCAAGGGCCCACATTCTGTGCTGCGTCTCTCACTAATCCACACATATCTGTGGGTCGAGTCCAGCCAGAACTCCATTCAAGCCACCTCCTAACTGCCAGGCCTGGGCTAGATGCTCTCGCCTATAATCTCATTTACTTCTCCGATTGACAGATCTCTCAGCGGATAAAACTTAAAAGGCTTGCATTTAATAGAGAAGGGGCGGGGTGCGGTGGCTCACGCCTGTAATCCCAGCACTTTGGGAGGCCGAGGCACCAAGGTAGATTACCTGAGGTCAGGAGTTCGAGACCAGCATGACCAACATGGTGAAACCTCGTCTCACTGTCTCTACTAAAAATACAAAAATTAGCTGGGCATGGTGGTGGGCGCCTATAATCCCAGCTACTTGGGAGGCTGGGGCAGGAGAATTGCTGAACCCAGGAGGCAGAGGTTGCAGTGAGCCGGGATCACGCCATTGCACTCCAGCCTGAGCGACAGAGCAAGACTCCGTCTCAAAAAAAAAAAAAAAAAAAGAATAGAGAATGGAGGGAGCCCAGTAGGGAGAGGAAGGTAGAGGATCCTTCCCATGCAGCCCCCATTTACCTCTGGGGCAGAAAGAGAAGAGTCTTCTAAAGGTAGAAGAGTGTAATGCTCAGCTACAGATAAATATCTGTTGTCCTCCTTCTGTTCGTCTAGGCATTCTCAGGTTTTCAGATTTAGAGAGTGGTAAATGCGTAACTCCTCCATCATTACAGCCCCCAGTGGCCCCTCCCTTACTCCCTGCATGAGGCCTTCCCTGACTAGCCCCGTATAAATGAGTCACCTCTCAGCACTCCCTGCTGCCCCATGCTGATTGACTGAATACTCGATTGGTTGATTTTAGAGACGAGGTCTCGCTCTGTCGTCCAGGCTGGAATGCAGTGGCGCTATCATAGCTCACTGCAACCTCTCACTCCTGGGCTCAAGCGACCCTCCTACTCTGCCTCCCGAGTTGCTGGGACTATAGGCATGCACCACCACACTAGGTCAACTTTTCTATACTCTGTAGAGACAGGGTCTTGCTATGTTGCCCAGGCTGGTCTCAAAGCAATCAAGCGATCCTCTCACCTTGGAGGTGCTGGGATTACAGGCGTGAGCCACCACACCAGGCCCCCTGCTTGTGAATTCTCTGTGGCACATTTCCCTCCCGGGCTTGGTATGTGCTTGCTTGTTGATGTGTCTGATGGCTCTCTCCTCTCAACTAATGTTGAAGCGCTGTGAGAACCAGGACATAATCCCACTGCCTGGAGCTGTGCCCGCCGACCAAGCGTCTGTTGGATGGATGAAAGATAATGAAGGTCACCAATGGGCAATTTAAAGCACTTGCAAGAAGTTTCCATCCTATGCGGTCTTTGCCTCTGGTGCTGCCTTGGAACCCAGTGCTCTGGAGCTAGATGAAGCTGGTGGGATATTTCCCAGGAGGAGACACCCAGCAAAGCTGCTGATTTGTCCATGATTCCCCTTCTTACCCTAGGTGAATACAACGCACACAACGGACCTTCCACGCCAGCGAAAGAGGGAGACACAGACAGGCCACACCGGGCCTCTGACGGGAAGCTCCGAGGCCGGTCTAAGAGGAGCAGTGACCCATCCCCGGCAGGAGACAATGAGATTGAGGTAATCCAAAGGGACTGTGTGTGACTTGGTGAATGTAATCTCCATCTGAGGCCCGAACAAGAGTGGAGACAGAGTTTTCTCCAAGTACATGGGGGAGAATCGCCCTTTGTGTTTACAAAGCACGAGCAGGGAAGCATGAGGTTGTCCAAGCAGATAGCCCTGGGGCCAGGACAGAAGAGCAGTTCTCAAACTGAAGCAGCGTCAGAATCACCTGGGGGGTGGTGCATTTGAAATCCGGGATTGCTGGGCCTCAGCCCTAGAGTTTCCAGTTCAGTAGATCTGGGGCAGAGCATGAGAATTTTTGTTTCTAACAAGCCCCCAGGTGATTTTGATGCTCTGGGTTGAGGACCACGCTCTGAGAGTCCCTGATGTAGAAGAGAATGGGCCTCCGAACTTCCAGCTGGGTTAGAGTGGGTCTCTACCCTGGTTACACAGCAGAATCATCTGGGATGCTCTTTAAAAAACAGGTACCCTGGCAGCATCCCAGACCAATTGAAAAGACTCACTGGAGGAACCAGGGGGCGGAGGGGAGTTTTAAACGTTCTCCATGGGGACTCCAATAGGCTTTGGAAATTGATTTGTGTGGAGGCTGGCTCTAATGAGTGGGCCTCTATTTCTGGAATTCTGACTTTTCAGAAAGGGCTGTCAACCTGGGCTGCACACGACAGTCACATGGGGGCTTTGAGAAACCTTCATTATCAAGCTGGACCTCAGACCAATTAAATCCGATTCCCTGAGGGTGGAGGCCAGGCATCACTGTTTTTAAAACTCCCTGGGTGATTCCCATGTACAGCTGAGGCTGAGAACTAGTGGTCACGGATGCTCCAGTCTTTTTTTTTTTTTTTCTTTTTTTGAGGCGGAGTCTCGCTCTGTCACCCAGACTCGAGTGCCGTGGCGCAATCTCGGCTCACTGCAACCTCCACCTCCCAGGTTCAAGCGATTCTCTTGCCTCAGCCTCCTGAATAGCTGAGATTACAGGCACACACCACCATGCTCAGCTAATTTTTGTATTTTTAGTAGAGATGAGGTTTTACCATATTGGCCAGGCGGGTCTTGAACTCCTGCCCTCCTCAACTGACCTACCCACCTCAGCCTCCCAAAGTGCTAAGATTACAGGAGTGAGCCACCACACCCAGACTTTTTTTTTTTTTTAATCAGGCGTACATGAGGTTTTCAACAGAATGCTATAGGATACATACAGATAGTAAGATAATAATCATCATGAAACAGATTACCAAGTCTCCCATCTCACAGAGTTACTTTTTCTGTCTGACAAAAGCAGCTAAAATCTACTTATTTAACAAAAATCCCTAATACAATAAAACTTTATCAACTCTAATTCTTGTGTTGCACATTAGATCTCTATACTTCTCATTTGTTATGCAAGTGTAGTATTACTGGCCGGGTACTGACATTTTCCCAAAAACAAAACAGCATGCCTAGGGGAGGGTACCAGTAGAAATAGGCAAAATGGATGCCCCAAAACCAGAAGTAAGCTACTATTGTCTTATCAAGGGAGGAAAATAAGCAAACTCACCGGTTTATGCTTCTTCGAAAAAGGCAGTCAGGGCCAGGCACGGTGGCTCAAGCCTGTAATCCCAGCACTTTGGGAGGCCGAGGCGGGCGGATCATGAGGTCAGGAGATCAAGACCATCCCAGCTAACACGGTGAAACCCCATCTCTACTAAAAATACAAAAAATTAGCCAGACATGGTGGCGGGTGCCTGTAGTCCCAGCTACTCGGGAGGCTGGGGCAGGAGAATGGTGTGAACCCAGGAGGCAGAGGTTGCAGTGAGCCGGGATCACGCCATTGCACTCCAGCCTGAGCGACAGAGCAAGACTCCGTCTCAAAAAAAAAAAAAAGGAAGAAAGAAGAAAGGCGGTCAGTTGCTGGCCTGAGTGTGCTGGGTGTCTTGGTAGGGTTGTCAGTGCCAGGCAGTTCATGTGCACCAGAGTCACATCCCTATTTATAATCTGTATACTTTATGGGGCAGCTGCAATGCTCAGCCACAAACTCAGACACACTGAGAAGTATCATCTTTGTCATTTCCTTAAAAAGCAATGTAATTTTAATGCTGAGTTCCCACCCCACCCAATGATAAGAAATTTCATTTCATCATTAGGGACCTTCCACTCCCAGGACTATATGAGAATCCAGGAGGTCAAGTGGTCTCAGAAACCAGACCAGCCTCTGACGTCCAGTGTGGCTGGGTGGCCACTGCTGCCTTCACTGTCAAAGCCTGCAGTCATCACTAAAAGTCCAGCCACTCTCTTGTGTTTCCATGCTATACAATGGGTATGGAAATCCTTGTTGAGCCTGAGAAACTTGAAATATTCGCTACAATTCTTTGGTTGCAAGCAACAGAAACCAGTTCCAGGCCCAGCACAGTGGCTCACACCTGGAACCTTTACCACTTTGGGATGCCAAGGTGGGCAGATTGCTTGAGTCCAGGAATTTGAGACCAGCCTGGGCAACATGGCAAAATACCATCTCTACAAAAAACAAACAAAAAATTAGCCAGGCATGGTGACATACACCTGTAGTCCTAGCTACTCAGGAGGTTGAGGTGGGAAGATGGATTGAGCCCAGGAGGTGGAGGCTGCAGTGAGCCATGACCACACCACTGCACTCCAGTCTGGGTGACAGATTGAGACCCTATCTAAAAAAAAAAAAAAAAAACAGAAGAAAGAAAAAAGAAACCAGTTCTGGTTACTTAAGCAAAAATGAATTTACTAGGAAAGGACAATGAGAGGAGGCCATAAAACCAAGTTTAGAAAGAAAGTAACAAAGACATTGTTGAGAAATCTAGGAATGCCAGAAAACAAACTATTTTAGAGTGCATGCCGTGTCCTTCAGTGTCCGATTCCAAGGAGGCAGCATCCCAGTGGCCTAGCTTGGGTCTTATACTTACCCCTTAATTGACAGCCCCACCAAAATAGCACACAATGGGGAAGGAAAACTAGGATGCTCCTATCAGAAGCCCTGAGGATAGAAGCTAGGGGTGGGGACCGGGGCCTCCAAGCAACACATGCTGACTTCAGCATGTTCAGGGCATTTGATATTTAGCCAGTGGTCCCTAGTTCACCTGTAGCAGTTGTTTATAGCTTGGGTGGGTTCTGATCACCCTGGAAGGTATTAAATATCCTGAACATCATGCTTGGTGCCCTATACTTGGTCAGCTTCCTGAGGTCTACCAGCAGCCTTGATCCATGCTAGAGACCTGGTGCAGAGCAAGTGTTCCCACTGTTCCTGGGGCCATTCTCAGTCCAGGGAATTCTGTTCTTGCCTTTTGCCTTATTCTTAAAGGTCCATCCTTCCCCCAAATAGAGATTTTTGCACAGTCCCTTCAGTGGGTTTAGCCCTTTGCAAAATGCTGAAAGAAAACGTATTGGCGTCAGATTGTACTTGCTGTCTGCCTTCCCATATTCCTAGGATCTCCTACCAGCTTGAAGTTGGAGAGCTTCGAAAACACAGTCACACATACATAATATTTCATCCCCCCAAGAAAATCATTCAGTCACCTAACATGTTTTCTGCTGTCCATAGGGGAACGGCAGGGGCAGAGAGAGATTTTCCCATTAAACTGAGAAAGAGGTGGAGAGGGTTATGGCATGGAAGTCAGGGATTATAGGGTGATATTATTCTGGAAACATCTGCTTCTCGATTTCGGCATAAGTACCACTGGGCAAGAACTATTGAAAAGGTGTGAGCTGTGTTTCACTTCTGTGCTTAATGTCATCATAGAGGGTTTGCTTGGGTCACACCTCTTAAGTCTTTGGCTGTTTTGCTAATGACTGAAGCCCACGGGAGAGAAATTATGTAGAAGTGGAAAGGAGGAAAATTCTGAGCACGTATTAGTTAAAATCCTTCAGCTGCACGTGCCAGGGACCAACTTGAGCTGCTTAGGTGAAAAAGCAGAATTTGTTTTAAGGATGCAGGGTCTCTCTTAGAACTTAAGGGCAGAAGTAAAGTAGAGTATCAGCGAGGCACTGGAACCAGCCAGGGCGACAGGGGCAAGAAACTGCATGTATTTCTCCTCTTCCCACGTGCCACAGTGAAGGTGACAGAACTCCCAAATCATAGTGTCCTGGCAGTGCCCTCATGCACTAGTTACTGGACACAGCTCTCCTCTGGGCCTCCTCACTCCTCCTCTCCCTCTGCTCCCAATGAAACCAGGTCCTGGTAAAGTGTTTGTTTCTTTGTATCTTTCACCCTCTGTTCTTGTCTCTGCAGACTGCCTGTCAGGTCCCAGGGTCTGGGTCCAGCCCATGCTGAAGTCCAAGGGGAGTGGGTGGATGGGCAGAAAGCACACTCGGGGCCGTAGGCAGGTGAAATGTAGTTTTATTTAGCAGCTTTGTCATCAGCACCTTTCTCACATTAGCTCTCTCACACTGTCCACCTTTATTTATCTCGGCTATCTGCTTTGGCTCTTAAGCAGCTCTTAAGCATGGCAAGCTGTGCCGTGGCTCCCCTCTGTCCATCTGCAAGACAGTCATTCTCCCTTACAGGGGCCAGTAGCGTCCTTCCCTCTCTGGGCACCAGCGCCTGCACAAGAGCCACATTGAGCCAAGCTGAGCCAAGAGCCATGCCCTGTGCACAGTGTCAGCAGGGCAATTATATCTTCTACAGGCAATAGTGACTGCAAGCCAAGTATGAACTTACACAAACAGGTTATTTAACAAACGGAGGTGTGTGCCTGCGCACCAAACTCGCTGAGTCACGCAGGCCTGGATATCCGTCTCAGCCTAGTCCTTGACCAAAGCACGTCCATGTACCTTACACTGCCCTTGTCTCCCCTTCAGATCACATGGCTAAACTTGGTCACCAATAGCGCTCCCCAAAAGACAATTACTTTCTTCTTAGCCCCAATTTTAAATTGCAAAAAAAAGGTCTCTGACCCACCCAGGGTTAAGGACACACCCTGGTCTGCACCATGATGGCCTAGGGAATAGGGTCACCTGCAGAATGGCCACCAGGAACTTACCCACTCAGAATCCAGGATGGTGAGGTAGTGGGAGAAAGGGATGGATTTTTTCAGAAGGGATTTAATGGAAAAAGTAAGGGAGCCTGCACTAAATTTGAAAATATTTGCTGATTTTTAAAAATTCTGTTACTGAAATTTCTAAATTTAATTTTCTAAGTTCAACCTCAGTGAATTCAGATAAGTTAGGACTTGGCATATTTGAATCTCAGAAAGTCTCCTCAAACACTGATTTTCAAACGTTTTTACCATGACCCATAATAAGAAATATACTTACTATGATGTCCCAGCACATATATGCACATAAATATACCTGGTCCAAAAGATTTATGAAATAATACTTAGCCTTACTAATTGCTTCAGAAATTCCTGTACTAGAGAATCTGGGATGCTAATACCTTTTTCATTCTAGATATTTCTCTTAACTTTCAAAGGCATGGCAAATGCCATTGTGTTAACACAGCCATTGACCTCCAGAGAGTTTTAAAAGGTGGCCCATCCAAGATTGCAGACTGGGGAAGAGACATTTGCCTCCCCTTCTCAACACCAGCTACAGAGATAGTCGAGTCCTTTGTCCTTGAAAATAAGGATCACCAGAAAAATAAAGAAAATCAACAGTATGAAAAATAAAGAACAAGATTAGCCAGGCATGGTGGCTCACCATGCCAGCACTGTGGGAGGCCAAGTGGGGAGGATCTCTTACATTCAGGAATTCAAGAACAGCCTGGGCAACATAGCGAGACCCTGTCTCTACAAAAAAAAAAATCAAAAATTAGCCAGGCATGGTGCCACATGCCTGTAGTCCCACTACTCAGGAGACTGAGGTGGGAGGATCACTTGAGCTTGGAGAGGTCTAGGCTACAGTGAGTGATGATTATGTCACAGTACACAGTGAGGCCCTGTCTCAAAAAAAAAATAAATAAAAGCCAAGATAAATAAATGGGATAAGTTAGCAGCAAAGTAATTTAAGAAATATAAACTAACTTAGGAAAATTCTAATTGGTTTTCTTATAAAAACTCAGGATCTTGCATCTGTAAAATAAGAAGTGGAGGCTACTGGGAAGGGAACACTTGGAAAAAAAAGTTATTGGACATTTTTTAATTACTGCAAAAATCAAAAATTAAATAAGGGTTGTAAGAGAAAGTTTAAGAAATCTCCCAGAACATTGATTAAAAAGACAGATTTATTTAAAAATATTGTGTACAAGGAAAGGCAATATCAACCCAAAAGGTTTGATTTGACTATTGGGAATTTCACAGAAAGAAAACAGTAGAAAAGATGGGAGGAAATTATTAAAAGAAATAAGAAAATAAAAATTTTCAGATCTATAGAAAGATACAAGTCATTGGTTTGAAAATGCTCAAGTGCCAAACAGAATTCATTAAAAAAAAAAGACCATACCCAGATATACCCTCATGGAATTTGAGGATACCAAGTATAAAGAAAAGATCCTTTAAAATTCTAGAAAGAAAAAAAAGTAAGACCTACAAGGACTGAGGAACAGTGAAATACCAGATTTCTCATCAGTGACCCTGGACACTTAAAAAATAATGATGAAAGAATTCTTTCAAAGATCTAGAGGATATTGTTTTCCGATTGGAATTCTGTACCCGGAGAAACTATAGAGAAAAGAAAAAGATATCATCAGATATTCAAGAATTCAGGAAGATTACTTTCCGTGTACCATTTCAGGAAAAGCAACTTAAGGATGTACTCAAGCAAAACAAGGAAGAAAACCAAGGAAAAGAAACTTGGGATCCAGAAAACAGTGGATCCAACCCAGAAATACAATGAAGGGAAGTCTGCAGCAAGCCTAAAAATGATCCAGTCCACATTGGAGCTTTCTATCGCTGAGGATAGACATCTCCAATATAGAGTGTGTGGCTGAATTTGACATTTTAATGAAGGTACATTGTTGCAAACAAGAAAAAAAATAATAAATTCTGACAAAAACAAAACAGTTACACCAGACAGGTATGATACATATATGAACAAACTGAGATATGACATGATTTTAATTATGATGGGGTACAAGTAAAGATAACGCATACAATGGTAAGGGCACTCTTCTTAAAGTTGATCTGGGGATATGACATTGGACACATAGAGAAGACAATGCAATCTTAGCATATTACTTGGCTCTGTAGTAAACAATAATCACAAAATGTAAATGTATATTACTAGTTACCAACTTTTAAAGTTAACATAGGCAGAGTGCAGAAAATTTAGCCTTAGTTATAAAACCAATGTACAAACCAGTTTATCCTCATTGACTATACAAAAGTAAAGCTGCAGCTGATAGACATTAGAGGGGGAGGATGTATGGGAAAAGGTAGGGACTCCTATATCTATAGCTCCATATTTGTTTACCTTTTTAACCAAGGGAGAATGTCCAAGGAGAATTGGAATAGAGGGATGCACATATGAGAAAAATGTAAGTTTCCAGAGAAAGAACAGAGATTTCCATGAGCTAAACCCTCATCTTTTAAGACGGCCCAGTCAAAAGATATTGTCTCAAGTTGAAAAATCAGTAAGTCAGGGTATAAATATGTTACTTAGAATTATAGAGGTGATCACCAGACTTGCTAAAAACAGAAATAGTTGAGCATATGGTGAACAGTGAATTTAAAATGGTAATATTTCATTTTGTAAAACCAGTTATATGATTTTTGTTGTTGATTTTGGCCTGAATTCTCCTTGTTGAGCTTTTATATGGAAGGCAAGGACAGACTTCTTAATTCTGACATCTTTTGAGTTGATAAGAGCCCAAAAACTGGGCATCTGAATACACATGACACAGATAAGGTTGGATGGGGATTCATGACACATCAGTGAGTTACATGTTTTGTAACCTAAAGATAATGTTTTTCAAGACTTCTTTTCCTCCAAAGGAATGAATTTCTGCAGACATTAAGTCAGATGCAAGTGAGTCCATTTGTCTCCATTCTCTTCCTCTCTTTCATCACAGCGTGTGTTCGTGTGGGACTTGGATGAGACAATAATTATTTTTCACTCCTTACTCACGGGGACTTTTGCATCCAGATACGGGAAGGTAAGAATCCATTTTGTCTCTCTCTCTCTCTCTCTTTTTGTTTTCAACATGACTGTCTGTCCAGCCAGTTTGTCCTGGGAATTGTGGGGACAGTTTATGAGGCAGCTTCTCCAACAAAAGCTGCCCTCTGGGGTCAGCCCAGGTTTAAAAATTCCTATGGCATTTTCCTTTCCCATGTGAAAATTTAATTAGCTTCCCCTTCTGTTGTCTCCCATGCCTTTTCTTCCAATGTTTGAAGCAATCAACATTTACTTGATAGGAAATACACTTATTGTCTTCAGCTGTCTCCCTTCCTAAAACAGTGGGCTATGCTGCAGCCAAAGCCAGTCATTCTAGCTAGAAAACAAGGTAAACTACTTTTCTTCTTCCCTGTTGTTTATCCTAGTGTCTCCGGCAAATGAATTTAATTTTCCTTCTGCTCTTTTGAGACAAGGGGGAGGCATTGTCAGCCTCAGTGTGGATCTTCGCAATCGTTTTGCAAATGCATCATCAACAAATTATGTTGGGGAACCATCTAGTTAGAATTCTAGGCAAATGCTATTGGCTGTTTGGTGGTACATGGAAGAGACCTTGAAACCACTTTAATAATGCAAAAATGAACTCAACTGCTAAAACCCAAACCTTGCCAATTATTTGGGTTCATTCCATGGGCTACTGAACAGACCACGAGTGGATGCCCTAGACATCTGTCATCTCTTCAGGGGGACGCATGGGGTGGACGGGCAGTACTTAAGATGACAGCCTAGTTTTCATCTCCTCAGAGGTGAGTGACCCACTGGCAGCTGCTTCCACGCATGGGTAGGAACCTTGAGACTTGCCAGCGCCTGGAAAATATTTCTGTTTCTGTTTAGAGACCAGGAATATGATTTGACATCACTTCATGGCTTTTCCAGCTGCTCATGTTTTTTATGGGGGTTATAACAAGCTGGATGTGTAATTAGCAAGATAGATTTATCGTCTGCCATTATGTTGTAAAGAATATAAAAATGGTGTTGGTGGTGCAGAAATCTCTTGCCGTGTAGGAATGCCGTTAATATGTCTAGCAGTGCCTGTGGGAAATCCGGCATGCATTTCTGGACCATGCACAGCTTAGGTAAAAGATGGCAGCGTCAAGAGCTGCTGAAAACACTGAAGAATGGGCTCCGCAGCCATTGCAAAAATTTGGGCTATCCCACAGGGGCCACAGTAGTAAGTTGCCCGCTAAGTCATGGTGTTTTATGGTTTTCCTAACCACTCCTGTAAAGTCGCCTCCCCTGAGACACAGGCAGTCACTCGTCTTGCCCTTAGAGGCAGCCTGCTGTGAAGTTCCATAGCTCCGTGCAACAACTCAGTGTGGATTGCGTAGGGATGTGTGATCTTGGATATGATTTTTGTGTCTGTGTCTCACCAGCATTCCTTAAACCAAACTGTGGGCTCCCTCAAGTCAGGGACAAAGCCCTGAGTTCTTTCTGGGCCCTGTGTCCCCTGGCCCATGCCATTCTTCACTGCCAGCCACCTCTCTCCCACCTTACCACCCAATTCCAGCCATCTTCACCTTCAGCTCGGCTTCCTATCTGGTCTCCCAGCTTCCACTCCTGCCCACTGCAGCCCCCTACATTGGAGTCATCCTCAAATACAAGCTTGGCCATATCACTCTCCAGCCAAAAAATCTTCAGTGGCTTTGCCATTGACAAGCCTACCCCCAACCTCTGAAGTTCTTCATGAGTGGCCTCCTGCCCTACTCACCAACCTCCTTTCCTGCTACTTACCCTAAGTTGTTTCCGGTCCTTGAACCTGCCACATTCTCTCCCATCACTGCTGGGTTTCTCCCAGAAGATCCTGAGACAAGGAGTGAGTGCGGATCGTCTATCTGGGAGGTAATCCCAGGAAGCACCGGGCACAGAGTGGGGAATTCAGGCAAGGAGGGAAAGGAAGCCAATACAGATTACACAAATCTAATAGTTACTGCCGTGGGCGGCTGGGGCTTAGGCCCACCAGGGGCAGTGTTAACCCACCCAAGGAGTGAGGGAGCTGGGATATTTACCTGCAAATTCCCTTCCATCAAGGGTTGAAGGCTTTTCCTGGGAATTGTCTCCCTGCACTTCTGGCCTGTCACCAAGAAGCCGCAGGGGGCAACCTTGGTGGCTCACACCTATAATCCTAGCACTTTGAGAGGCCGAAGTGGGAGGATTGCTTAAGGCCAGCCTGGGCAACATGGTGAGACCCCATTTCTTTAAAAAACTTAAAAATTAGCCTGGTATGGTGGTGTGTACCTTTAGTCCCAGCTACTCAGGAGGCTGGGAAGGGAGGATCGCTTGAGCCTGCGGTGAGCTGTAACCACACCACTGCACTCCAGCCTGGGCAACAGAGCAAGACCCTGTCTCAATCAATCAATCAATAAAAAGAGAGCCCCAGGGTAGAGCATTGGAAATGCTAACTGCGGAAGACTTCTTCATATATGTACAGGAATGGTGACAGTTGAGAAGACATGGAGCAGGGGCACACTGGAAGCCTCTGCTATCATCTAAAATGTTCTTTTATTGAATTAAATGTTCTTTTATTGAATTAAATCCTACTTATCTTTCAGTTCTCATTTAAAATGTAGCTTCCTCCAAAAGGCCTTTCCTCACTACTCCTCTCCATCTAAATTGCGTCTTTCCTCATAACTGTGTTTTCCATTCATGTCATGATTATGTTTGTTGTACGTCTTCCTTCTAGACTATAAGCACCATAAGGGCAGAGACCACGAACATTGGTTTTTATCTCCCCAACCACACACAGTGCACAGGGCAGAATTGCTCAATAAATGTTCGTCGAATGAATGAATCAGGGCAATCCCCTAGAAAGTTAAGCTGCATGAGGACAGGGACCTTTTGTTTGGTTTTATTGTGTTCATAGCTTTATCACCAGTGCATGGAACGGTGTCTCCCACTTAGTAGGTGTCAAGTAAATATTTGTTAAATGAAGGAAGGAAGGAAGGAAAATAGTATCAAAACAGAAATTTTTAACTGGTGGCCACTGACCAAATTCATACTGCAGATATTTCTCTTTGGCCCCCAGAGTGTTTGAAAAAATGTGAATGTGTCGCCAACATTTAAAAATCAGGAGATTGCACAGACCAAAACAACCTAGATTTCCAGCTCTTCTTGAAAAATTAGGAATCTGGCAATCCTGCATTCCCCTGGGGCAGCAATCAACAGGAGCGGAGAAGGACTGCCCTCTTAGAGGGGGTGGACATTCTCCAGCCCATCACAGCCCCCACCTGGCCTGGTTAACCCATTCTTGGGACTCTCTGGCCCCATTGATATCTGAGTTTCAACATCCATCCTAGAATTACAGAATCATAGAAGATTAGAGCTAGAAGGACTTGAGAGACCATCATGTTCAGTTAGTGTCCATTGTCCATAAGGAGAAACTGAGGCTCAGAGGGAGTAAGATTATCTAAGAAAGCATGAGAATCAGACTCAAGCTCACCTGCCTTCCTGTGTGATCTCTGGATGTCCAGGGAAAACTGAGGTGAAAAGCTCTTGGAGCACCCAGATCACCTGTGCCATCTTCATGACTCTCCTAGAATTTTCCATTCCCTCCTCCAGCTCTCACTAAGGTGAGGAATGAGTGTTTTCATTTGCTAAATCTAGCAACTTTCAGAGAGACCCAAAATAATTGTGACTTAAACAAGATGCAAGTTTATTTCACTCCCCAGCAGTTCAGATGGAAGCAGTTCAAGCTGGGGAAACTGCTGTGCAGCACCAGAGACCACGGCCTCTACAGTCTTGTTCCCTGCCATTTTTTGGAGTGTCACCTGCATTGGCAAGATAAATTGTAGCTTACCCCCATGTCTGCATTCCAGCCAGTAAGAAGCAGGGATAGGAAAAGGAGGACTTGCCCCTCTCTTTTGATATTTTTATTTTCTTGCCCCTCTTTTTTTATTATTTTTATTAATTTTTTTAGAGACAGGGTCTTGCTTTGTTGCCCAGGCTAGAGTGCAGTAGCACAGTCATAGCTCACTGTAACCTCAAACTCCTCACTCAAGTAATCCTCCCACCTCAGCTTCCTGAGTAGCTGGGACTACAGGCAAGTGCCACCATGCCCAGCTAATGTGTGAAAATTTTTTGTAGAGATGGAGTATCACTGTGTTGCCCAGACTGGTCTTGAACTCTTGGGCTCAAGTGATTCTCTCACCTCAGCCTCCCAAAGTTCTGGGATTACAGGCCTGAGCCACCACACCCAGCAAGCCCCTCTTTTTTAAAGACCAGACTCAGAAGTTGCAGGCATCACTTCTGCTCTTATCCTATTGGGCAGAACTTGGTCAGGTGGTCTCATCTAGCTGCAAGGGAGTCTGTGAAATGTAGTCTTTATTTGAGGCAGTCATGGCCAGTTAAAATTTAGAGATTCTATTACTCTGAGAGCGAGAAAAGAAGAATGGGTATTAGAGGACAACTAGCAATTTCTAGCCCAAAGTACCGTATAGTAAAAGGAAAAACAATTAAATAGAAAACTAATGAGGAAAAATAAAATTAGTTATGTTTGAGAGGCCTGAGGGGCCACAAGATTTGTAGGTCTGAAGCTCCAGAGAGAGGTCTGCACTATGGCTCTAAGCTTGGATGTCAGAGAAGTAATAAGGATCTGGAGGAGAACTGTGAGCCCCATTTTGCAGACAGAGTAACTGAAGTTATGTAGTTGGTGGGATATTCATGACAGAACCAAAACTCATGGCCTCACCTTCTGGCTCACAGTTCTTTCTCTCTGTACTTCCCCGGCACTGCAGCCATGTGAAACTTGTTATTAATAGCTGTCATCAAGTATGAGACTCAGTTTGAAGTACAACATATTTAAGCTACAAAGAAAATTTATTGTAGCACAATAATTGAAAAACCCAGGGATACCTGGGATTCAGGTCTGGCTGGATCCAGATGGTTAAGCAATGTTCTTAGGTCATTCTGTATCTCTCAGCCAATTTTCTCCATGTGGTAACTCCCTCTCAGCAATCCCAACTAAAAACTGGAAACTTCTAGTACCCA